CCTGAAGGTGTCTAGAATCTAGAGTGTATTTAAGATTTCTTCATCTCAATTAGAAAAGAAATCGTCTTCAGGATATATTAATTAGTTTTCTTACATTGGAATTACATTGTTTTTTTTTTTTTTTGGATTTCCAGGATGCTATAACATGCGCGGATGACTACTTCAAATATCTATGCAAATGCATATTGGAAAAATGTTCAACAGATTTGAACTTTTTAACAAAACGAATTGATAGGACCATGTTCAATCGTCTTCAATCTCTGGTGGAAAAGTCTTGTGAAAAAATCACCTATACAGAAGCAGTGGATAGGTTGAGAAATGTAAGTGACACATCCTTTGTATGTACTAGATTAGAAAACACACCCAATTTTACTTCTCTGACAACTTCTCTCCTAAAAAATTTTCACTTCTTGCCAACTAGGTTTCAGTTAAAGAATTTGAAACAAAACTTCAGTGGGGTGTTGCTTTAACGGCAGAACATTTAAGGTATGTATACCAAAGTATTAAGTTGTAGATGCCACATGAGAACATCCTAAACCACTGGAAGTGAGGGTTCCTGATCTTGTTGATTCTTACTAACTATTTATTCAATGGCAGTTACTTGGCTGATGAGATGTATGCGAAGCCTGTTATCATTTACAATTATCCAAAAAAATTGAAACCATTTTATGCACGCACGAATGATGATGGAAAAACAGTTGCAGCATTTGAAATGGTTCTACCCAAGGTAAGCCAAAGACTTTCTAAAGATCAAATGGATCTTAAAATGAAGTGTGCTGGACAAAATTTAAGTGGATAATTTAGAATAGCAACAAAGCTAAATAGCATAACTTTTCAGGTTGGAACACTGATTACAGGCAGCCAAAATGAAGAACGCATCAATATGCTAAGTGCAAGGTAATTCATTCTATGCTTTTCTTCATTTATCATCCTTTGTAGTTGGTCAAATAGAACTAATTTGATTTTTTTAAAAAAAGAAGTAGCTAGTCAATTGATCAAATTTTAGGCTCCAACAACCCTTGTGACCATTGTGGAAATTATGCATGGAAATCCTGGATATACATATTTTTTGTTACTATTATTTTACTTCTTTACTATGGTTGTGAGAGCTACATCTTCTGGCTGCATCATGGTAAGTAATTTTGGTGGTTGATAGTGAGTTCAAATTACATGTGCTTTGTAAGCAAGGCCTGGAGAATGGATATGGCTGATCTTTAGCTCAATTAACTTCTATGCTCTATTGAAATTATTAAAATTCAATGATGTGTATCAGATGACATCAAACCGAAAATATTTAGACTATGATATTGCTGCTAATAGCTGAAACTCTTCTGAATCGGAGAGACGACCCTTATGCTTCTAATATTGTATCTTCAGGATCAAGGAATTCGACCTACCAAAAGATCAGTACGAATGGTATCTAGATCTACGCAGGCATGGTACAGTCAAGCACTCTGGATTCAGCCTAGCATTTGACCTCATGGTTCTTCTTATAACTGGCCTTACAGATGTTAGAGATGCAATCCCATTCCCAAGAAGTTGTGGCATGGAGATCAATTAAGTAACTCAAAAAATAGAGATGTCCTGTGTTCAAACTGCTATTTGTTTCCAATGGAATGAAAATTGTATTCAAATATTATATATATATGGGAATGCAACTTGATACAAATACCTTGTATCTAGAGATCAAGTTCTTGATCCCAAATGCGAATTGATGTAACCACAGAAGCTAACAACTAGGAGCTCCCCCAATACTTCTAAAGCCTATGTACAGAATTACAGAAATGCACACTGATTTGCTTCAGTATCAAGAGGGAAATGTTGGAGAAGTTTGGTAT